GTGCGTTTGTGTGCGTTTTGTTCAAGTGTTTTCTGGGTTTTTTTTTACGTTTGGCTTTTTATATTAGCCAATGGAGAAAATTGTCATTTGTGACATCATGTGTTGCCATGTGTACCTGTTTTTCCTCTTCCGAAGTCAATTTCATTTCTTTCCTGTTTAAGTCAGCATTCCAGCCTTGCTTTGTTCTCTGTAAGCATGGATAACGAAATGATGTGCTTCATGGCAACAGCTGCTGTAACTTCATATTTTTTTCATGAATAAAAGAGAGAAAGAGGAGGAGACGCAGATACTTGGTCCATCCTGTCATTTCTGAGTGAGAACAGAGGGGTCAGTTTTGATTCCTGTACAATGACTTACGTTCACATGAGGAAACATTTTTTGTGTATATACAGATGTCAACTAAAAGGTAAGGTAATTTGCGCAAGCTGAGTTTTGAAGCTTTTTGGCTACTATGCCCATGTCTGCAAGATTCTGAGCGCACCAGCTAAATCTCTCTCTATGTAAATGTTGTTTAGTCATAACAGCTCCCACTATCTAATAGTAAGATTTTTGTATATGTAAAAATCAAACACAAAAACGTGTCAGGTAATTACATTTTTTTCCTTTTTATTTTTTTTTTTTTAGTAAATGAGCTGCAAAAGCTCAATTTTATGCAGCAGAGTTGTGGTCACAACAAATATTTTTAAGTATAAATAAAGTTTTCTATAAAAACAACTTTTTTAAAGTAGCAAAAACTACTTTTTTTTTTACAATTGTGGCTGCACCCCCTAGTGGCAAGCACACATGCAACTTGAGGGATGACAATGTACACAATGATTTTAACCTAATGTGGAACATTTTAGCTACACATACATCACCGGTGTCTAGAAGTGATGGTAGGTTGTTGGCAAGTTGGCAGGGTTATTAAATGCAAGCACATTCATGGCCTGTGTATAGTGGTGATGTGGCAAGGGTGTGGTGGAACTGGTGGTATGTCTTGTCTGTGTCATGTCTGTGTGCATAGTGGGTGGAAATTAAAGCATGGATCGGTATGGTGTAGGTGGTTGTATCTTTGAATATGTCTGGGTGTATGGTATTGGCTGAGAGGTTGGTGGTGATGAATGTGTTTTAGGCATATGGACCATATGGTGATGGACCTTCAGAATGCATGAATGAAGTGTTTTGGCTAAATGGGGGCATGAATGTACTTATGTATCTAATGACACCTGTGCACATCGCAACTTTGAGTTCAAGAGGAACTCGTCCTATAATCCCCTCTAGACATTGGGGAAAATACTGCTCTTCCGGCTGGTTTCCCATCATCCAGTCAGCCATATTGGCCAAAATGTCCAACATCCGGTTAAAATCCAGCACAGTTGTTCTCCCCCTCGTTGCACATGTCGTTGAATGTGAAGGTGCATGTGGTCTTGGAGTTGGGGTCAGAATGTTTTGATTAGAGTCCACATCAGGAATAGGTGTGTCACTGATGATGATGTGGATGGTTCAATGGCTTCTGCCAGGGTGCTGTCATCCAAAATGTTTTAAGTGTTTTCTGTTTTCTGTGGAGCAGAATCCTCCCAGCTTGTTTATGTGCTGTAAATAAAAAATTTCATGTTAAGTCATCCCAAACAAATATTTCTGTAAGAATGCATGATTGCAGATGCTAGCTTACTTTGTTATAGCCAAAATTGGCCTGAGGAATTCCAGCTCCTTTGCATGCAGGTAGTTAGCAGGTTGGCATGCAGCAGAGCCACTTCTGAATTTGCGATGAACTCTTAGGTGATAAGCATAGGCATCCCTTATTATTATTATTATACAGGATTTATATAGCGCCAACAGTTTGCGCAGAGCTTTACAATATAAGGGAGACAGTACAATTACAGTACATTTTAGTACAGAAGGAATAGGAGGGCCCTGCTCATGGAGCTTACAATCTAAAGGAAGGGGGAGGTGATACAAAAGGTGATAGCTGTGGGGGATGATCTGGCGGAGGTGATTCAAGTACAGTTCTTAGGTGGAGGTGGGGTAGGCTTCCCTGAAGAAGTGAGTTTTCAAAGATCGCCTAAAGGCAGACAGGGTGGGGGCTGACTGGACATGCTGTGGTAGGGAGTTCCAGAGGATGGGAGAGGCTCTGGAGAAGTCCTGGAGGCGAGCGTGGGAGGAGGTGATGAGGGAGCTAGAGAGGAGGATATCATGGGAGGAGCGGAGTGGGCGATTTGGGCGGTATCTGTGGATGAGTTTGGTGATGTAGCTGGGGGCAGTGTTGTGGATGGCTTTGGAAGCGGTGGTTAGTATTTTGAATTTTATACGTTGGGTTAGTGGAAGGCAGTGAAGGGATTGGCAGAGAAGGGCAGCAGTCGCTGATCGGTTGGTAAGGTGTATGAGTCTAGCAGCAGCATTCATAATAGACTGAAGGGGGGATATCCTGTGCAACGGTAGCCCAGTGGGGAGGTAGTTGCAGCAATAGAGACGGGATATAACCAAGGCGTGGATAAGTTGTTTTGTGGTGTCATGGGTCAGGAAGGGACGGATTTTGGAAATGTCTCTTAAACTTTTCCACTTTGTCTTTAGTACTTTAATTGTAAAGGAAAAAAAAAGTTTTTGTTTTTCAGGTATCTGGTAGCAAGACAATCATTGGTTAGTCTTCACTACTCAATTTTGATTGGAAAATCAACGGTAAGCTACATAGTACATGACACATGCTCAGTCATATGGGATGTATTTAAAGATGTTGTTATGAAAAAACTAACAACAGATGAATGGTCACAGATATCTGATGTTTTCTGGACATGATGCAATTTTCCAAATTGTATGGGAGCTATTGATGCAAACATATCCGGACCATCAATCCAGTTGGCAGTGAAAGTAAATACTTTAATTATGAAAAAATATTTTTCATTTGTTCTACTTGCGGTGGCTGATGCAAATTTCTGCTTTCGCTACATTGATATCGCGTCATATGGCAGCAGCTCTGATTCATCTATTTTTAGCCACTCTTTATTTGGACAGATGCTGCATACAGACAAGCTTGACCTTCCTAAAAACATTCCACAGGAAAAATGGCCCAAATCTACCAAGTGTTTTTGTGGGAGATGAGACATTTGCCATGGGTGAACATCTGCTAAGGCCCTATTCTAGTCACAACTTAACTGTACAGAAGAGGGTTTTTAACTATCACCTCACCAGAGCACCCAGGGTTGTAGAGTGTGCTTTTGGCATACTTTCAAATAAGTGGCATTTTTTGCACACTCCCATTGTGTTAAACATGCAAAATGCTATCACTGCTGTTAAAGCCGCATGTGCCCTGCACAACTTTATTTGTCAGTGTGATGATTTTCTTTTTGAAAACTCTATTATGCACAACATGGAAAAGAACCCAGTGGTCTGGGAGTCGGGCAAACAGGCAAGGAGCACATGTCAGGGATAATTTTGCATCCTACTTTATGACTCCAGCCAGAGGCATATTTGCTGCGAGGCAAACAAGGCATTTGCCTAGAGCGGCACTTTTTAGGGAGTGCTGTCTCCCCCGCCCTTTCCCACGGAAGGGACACTTAGTACAGGGGTGGGCTGCTGTGTCTTACCTGGGCCCGCGACTCCGTGTCCCAGTCCCACGTTGATCCGGTCCATGAGGCGTTGCTGGAGGAGGGGGTAGAGAGGTTGTCCGGTCACCGGGTCCGGTGTCTTCGATTCCCTGGACCGCGATGTGTGGGCGGGATGACATGCTGCCCCTGTCATCTGGCCACACCCCGGGAACACTCAACAGCTCCGCCTCCTCGCCGGTGATTGGCCGACAGAACTGTAGCTCAGGAGAGGCACACAGGCGGCCAATCACCGGTGAGTAGGTGGAGCTTGGAGAACAGGAGCCGAGAGGCAGCGCAAAGGTCAAAGAAGATCAAGTGAGGGAGCTGCCGGAGCAAGTGAAGAGGAGGAGAGCGGCCGGAAAAGGAAGACAGCAGACCGGTAAGTGTCTGTACCGTACAAATGGTGCTGCTGCAGCCAGGTTTGCTGGATATAGATGGGAGAGGGAGGGAGCAAGCCCAGGCAGGAGCAGGGGTCAGCAAGGTAAGTATCATTGGTGTCAGTAGGAGGAATAGTGCCCCATCATTGGTGTCACTAATACCAATGATGGGGCACTATTCCTCCTACTGACACCAATGATGGGGCACTATTTCCTGCCCCCCACTGACACCAACGATGGGGCACTATTCCTCCCCTTACTGACACCAATGATGGGGCACTATTCCTCCCCCCACTGAAATCAACGATGGGGCACTATTTCTCCCCCCACTGACACCATCGATGGGGCACTATTCCTCCCCCCACTGACACCAATGATGGGGCACTATCCCCCCCACTGACACCAATGATGGGGAACTATTCTCCCCCACTATTCCCCCCCACTGACACCAATGATGGGGCACTATTCCCCCCACACTGACACCAATGATGAGGCACTATTCCCCCCCACTGACACCAATGATGGGGCACTATTCCCCCCCCCACTGACACCAATGATGGGGCACTATTCCCTCCCACTGACACCAATGATGGGGCACTATTCCCCTCCCCCCCACTGACACCAATGATGGGGCACTATCCCCCCCCCACACTGACATCAATGATGGGGCACTATTCCCCCCCCCCCACTGACACCAATGGTAGGGCACTATTCCTCCCACACTGACACCAATGATGGGGCACTATTCCTCCCAGTGATACCAATGATGAGGCACTATTCCTCCCACTGACACCAACAATGTGGCACTGTTCCTCCCACTGATACCAATGATGGGACACTATTCCTCCCACTGACATCAGTGATGTGGCACTATTCCTCCCACTGATACCAATGATGGGGCACTATTCCTCCCACTGACACCAATGATGTGGCACTACTCTTCCCACTGACACCACGATGGGACACTATTCCTCCCACTAACACCAATCCAATGATGGACATTATTCCTCCCACACTGACACTAATGATGGGGCACCATCATTGGTGTCAGTGGGAGGAATAGTGTCCCATCATTAGTGCCAGTGTGGGAGGAATAGTGCCCCATCATTGGTGTCAGTGGTAGGAATAGTGCCCCATCATTAGTGCCAGTGTGGGAGGAATAGTGCAACATCATTGGTGCCAGTGTGGGAGGAATAGTGCCCCATCATTGGTGTCAGTGGGAGGAATAGTGCCCCATCATTAGTGCCAGTGTGGGAGGAATAGTGCAACATCATTGGTGTCGGTGTGGGAGGAATAGTGCCCCATCATTAGTGCCAGTGTGGAAGGAATAGTGCCCCATCATTGGTGTCAGTGTGGAAGTAATAGTACCCATCTTTGGTGTCAGTGGAAGGAATAGTGCCCCATTGTTGATGTCAGTGGGAGGAATAGTGCCCCATCATTGGTGTCAGTGGGAGGAATAGCGGCCCATCTGTGTCAGTGGGCGGAGCTGTAATAGGAAGATGTGGAGCCTAAATAGGAAAGGGTGGAGTTTACAGATGAAGGGTGGGTCTTAAACAGGAAGGGGTGGGACAAATTTAGATGTGGGGGTGCCCGATTTTAGTCTTGCTTAGGGCAGCACAAAACCAAAATACACCACTGACTCCAGCAGGACAGGTCCCATGGCAGCTTGAGGCAATTGATTAAATTTTCATTGTAAAATTTGTTTTCAGTTGTAACCCTGAATTATTGTTAAGACATGTATCTGCTCTGTATATGGAGTTAAATAATAAACTGGCAATATTATTTATTTGTGATCTTTTTTTGATAATCAAATTTTTCTTATTAATAAAAAAATAATTGTATATCTAGATAACTTTGCACGTCCACAAGCAGCCCTGTATTTTATAAAATAAACAGGTTGAAACAGTGAAGCTGGTGGATACATAGCATGCATGGGGTACAAACATTCCTACAAGAAGTTTGGTATGCTACTCTGAATAAACAGGTTGAAATAGGTTAATACATAGCATGTATGGGGTACACCAAACACTCCTACAAGCAGCCCTGTATGCTAATGAATAAACAAAGTAAACACAGCAGATACATAGCATTCAGCCCTATAAACAAAAGCAGATAGTCAAACTTACTTTTCTTATCGTTAACATCTCCTGCATACCCTTCCCAGTCAGGAAAAATGTGGTGGGTGACATCCTCCCAGGCCTCCTCTTCCTTGCACGGCCCTTATATTGTGTGTCCTGGGAGTCATATAGGCAGGGGTATTCTCTGACTAAGCGGTTATAAACCCCTCAGGATCAAATAAACTTACTGTGTCATCCATATTTCCTGGTTAAAATGGCTGCTTTGTTATTTCCTGTAAAAATGTTGTCATCTACTTTTAGGAGGTAACTTTTCATTTTGGGCACAAAAAAACGCTCTTAACCTCCCTGGAGGTAGTCCTGAGTGCAGCTCGGGGTAAAGTTTCAGCACCACAAGCGGTATCCCTGAGCTACACTCAGGAATACCCTGCAGCGCTCCTCTGGGATCTCTTCTTCACTTACCTTCTTGTCCTGCGCTCCCGCAATGTCCCTACTGCAGTGTCCCCGGCGATGTCCTCCGGCCGATGGTGGCATCTGTCTTCTAGGTTCCGTTTCTTGCGACGTCAGGACGTACGGGGATGGTACGGCGAAAAATTTAAAAATGTGAAAAAGTGACATTCACTAAAATCACATAGTATAACATTACTGTATCAAACCATTTCACATACATTTTGTCCCTAGTGCTTTGTCCTGTGCCCTGCCTACATTTCTACTGTTCTTTCTGCCTTGAAACTGAGAAATATCCATGGCGTCCAAAAAAGCATCCCTTTCGATAAAAAGCGGTTTTAGACCAGCTAGAAAACAGCGATAGTAAATCAGAAATACTTGCAGAACTGAGTGATAATGATTCGTGGGGAAATTCGTAATCAGACACTGAAAACGATTTTGCGACTTTGCTCAGTGAAGTGCGAACATGGCGCTTTATTTCAAATTTCAGTGTTTTTGGTTTGATTATATTATTAAATTAAATTTATTATTATTATATTATTGTTTTTTATTATTATTTATTAAATTATAATTGATGATTTCGTGTTTCAAATTTTAACATACCCGGGATGTTTACTAGACTCTTGTTCGGACAGATTTCAGTGAGTTATTCCTAAAAATTACAGGCCTACAATAAAAAAAATACATATTTCCATGCAAAAAAAATGTACCGCTTTGAGCACAGAAATACTGACATAATCATACCGCTAGGGAGGCTACACAAAATGCGCATACGTGCCAAAAAATTCACAATTTGCGCATTCCTATGTATTTCAATGGGAATAAAAATGCACCAAAAATGCTTCAATCTGCGCAAATGGAGTTACAAAAGTAGCTCCAAAACTTTTTGAGCTTCAGACATTCTGCATCTCCATAGAATAATATTGATTTTTTTTTTCTCCTCGGGCGTTTTGGAGCTTTGGGCTTCCAATTTTGCACTTCAAAATGCTCAGGTGTGAATGGGGCCTTAGGATTGGCACCTTTGGGGAGCAGGGGGGGGACGGGTACCTGAATTTGACAGTTTCCCACTTCCATTTCCAATGCGGTCAACTAAGATGATCGGAAGCGGAAGTTGTCCTCCCCACAATCATATAAAAAAAAACGTTTTTGGACACCGTTTTTTTGTCAATGTGTTTTTGTCATTATTAAAATAGTGTTTTTTAAGAAGTACTGCACCATGAGCTTCTTTTTTTATTCCGAGTGGCCATTCCAATACCTCTTAAAACTAGATGGGATGTGATCAGGGGCGGACTGACTACTCATGGGGCCCCCGGGCAATAGGGGATCATGGGACTCTGCAGGAGACTCTAAAGATCCACTTTAATCACATCCAGGGACATCACATCCATTTGGAAACTCGGACACTGCCTGGGGTCAGTAGGGGGCCCCATGAGATGCCCCTTGCCCAAACTCAAAAAAGGCTATGAAAAAGGTACCAGAGGCATCTCATGGGGCCCCCTACTGACCCCAGGCAGTGCCCGAGTTTCCAAATGGTCAGTCCGCCCCTGGATGTGATTAAAGTGGATCTTCAGAGTCTCCTGCAGAGTATTGCTCTAGGAAATCATCTCTTCAAAGCCTAAGCTGTGCCTCAGCTGTCTGCAGATCGTTGCTCCCAGAGAAAAAAAGCGCTCATGCTGGTTTATAATATTATCAGCATATTGCTCTGGTGAGTTTATTCAGTTCATTTGGTGGTGGATTCACTTGGTGGATTTTACTTTGTGCATTTTTTTATTTGTCACTACCACATTTTGTTGGGGACTTTTAATATATATTTTTGAGACTTTATATATATTTTTCTTCTGGGATTGATATGATTTATAATTTTTCTTGTGTTTGTGTTATGGTATATATTGTGTTTTGACCTGTTACTAGCGCAGTCTTATTTATTCATATTGTGTGCACCTTTGCAAAGGGTAGACCAGCAATGGGCAAACTACGGCCCGGCGGACCTTTTAATCCGGCCCGCGGATGTGGCTGTCAGGATGTGTGTAGGCGGGGCAGCGTGACGAACATGAGGGGAGGGGAGCTAGGCTCCTCTCACAGTCCGCCCTGAAGACCGGAACGGCGCGGGAACACGGCGAGAGGAACGCGCGGAGCAAAGGTAAGTGAATTGACACAGGGGGGACTTGGTTTACTACTTGGGGGGGAATAGTACTGTGAGGGATGAATTAATATGGGGGATGAATTAATATGGGGAATGAATTACTATAGGGGGGATGAATTACTATATGGGGGATGAATTACTATGGGGGATGAATTACTATATGGGGGATGAATTACTATATGGGGGATGAATTACTATGGGGGATGAATTACTATATGGGGGATGAATTACTATGAGGGATGAATTACTATAGGGGGGATGAATTACTATGAGGGATGAATTACTATAGGGGGGATGAATTACTATGGGGGATGAATTACTATATGGGGGATGAATTACTATGGGGGATGAATTACTATATGGGGGATGTATTACTATGGGGGATGAATTACTATATGGGGGATGAATTACTATATGGGGGATGAATTACTATGGGGGATGAATTACTATATGGGGGATTAATTACTATGCTTACTATGGGGGAATATTACTATACTTACTATGGATGACACATACACATCATTCATCTACTCTTGGTCCGGCCCCCGGGTCCAATATATGAACCCATTGCGGCCCTCAAGTCAAAATGTTTGCCCACCCCTGGGGTAGACCTTGCGGCTGGGTTATTGATTAATTTGGGTTGATATTGTTATTTATCATATTTTGTTGTCTGGTGCTGTCTATATTTATTCAGTAAGCCCCAATCTTTGCCAAGGAACCTGGACCTACCCCTTTGGGCAGTTGCATGTTGTTGCCCTATAATTGTGCTCCCTGGTCCCGAGGTTGTACACAGATTTCTTTCTGGTAAATTCACCATTGCCCAACTCTACTTCTGTCAAACCCCTCAATAAAGAAACCCTTGCATAAAGCATTCTCAAACTACTCCATCTCTCTCTGTGTGTTCTGTTCCTCTTACACCTTCATCACAGGCACTTTAGCTGAACTTTGCATTCTGTCCAACAATAGCAACTAGTAAACTATTGCAAGAGTAAATTCTACATGCATCGTTATCTTACAAACAGATTTTCTGTAGGGTAGCCTAGCCCATAGTGGTTGGTCTCTCTTGCTCATCTGGCTTTTCACAGCAGATTCTCATAATGTCTCTATAATGCAGCTTCTACCAATGTTCTGATTATGCAAAAAATGATATAGGTTTTCTTTTTTATTAATTAGAGTATTATAATCCCAGCATGCATTATGTTCTTGGTTAGTGCACTTGAAACCTACATGGAAAATGAGAGATAAAATAAAACAAATCAGATTAGAAGGAATAGATGAAAGCACATGAAACTGGCCAGAATCTTAAAAAAGGCAATTGAATTGATACTTTTTTATTTCTTTTGAAAAGAAGCTCTGGGGTGCTTGCTGTGTAAGCTGAATCATTTGGAAAGAGGAAATTATGAAGAAGCTATGCCCTCAATTCATTTCAGTTTAATGCAGACTGCTTTGCACTTTTACGGCTGCCTATCTGTGACTCCTCACATTATAGAACCCGCATTGTATTCTCTCAGAGAAATATCCATGACAGAAGTCAAAGCTTAGAATGAGAACATCCATGGTGCTCTGTCTCCGCAAATCAATGAGAAAAACCCTCTTAGGGCATTTTGCAGGCCAATTTAGAACAAATACAATTCATTTATACAACAGTGTGCGTCCATTTGAACGGGGCAGACT